CTAAAACCTGCCTGGTTTTCATGAGTTCGCTGTTCTCGAACTGCAGTTAGGCGTTGGATAACTATGAGGATTCTAGGATTTCGAACGCAATATTGGTGAAACTAATTCACCTATGATTGACACAAGATTTATCTCCCTTCTTATAAACTGGTATGATCAGTAGAGTACACCGGTCTGGTAGGGCTATCTCTGGTTCTCATACACTACTTAGTACGTCCGTGACTCTAAGCAGAGATTCCCCAACTCCATCCTTGAAAACGTCAGGTGGTAAACTGTCAGGTCGTGATACTTTGCATCGTTTCAGGATCGATACAGCCTTCTCAGCTTGAAAGAGAGTTGGAGGACAGACATCTACGTCGCATTCAGGTCCAGACTAGATGTTGGGTAACTGAAGCATTGGTGAGGTTCAGTTGAAATGTACTTCAAGGTGTTGTACTCACTATTCTGGCCGCCTGTCCAGAGGGGTTATTAGTACCCCATTCTTTTCGAGGTTAGTTTCTCTCACCATCGTGTTCTTATGGTTGGTATTCTTAATAAGCCTAAACAGTAAGCGAGTGTTATCAAACCGTGATGCCTTCTCCATTTCTCTCACTACCCACCACAGCTAGTGGTCGACTTGAATACACTTTGTCAACTTACTTTTGAATTACTTTCGCTCCTCATGATGGTCAGAACCAGAACCATCCATCTGTAATTAGTCTTTTCGCAGTAATCATTTCGGGTGACTCTGCAGAAATCCACTGACGTTTGCTAACATTCGGGTGTATGTTATCATCTGTGTTTACCTCTGTTTCTTCAGCAGACTCAATAAGTCTCACTTCAGGTCTTCTCAGAATGAGCATTGCTGTTATGTTCAGATAGGTGCTTAGCTAACTCCGTCCTAAATACGCACTTGACGTCCTCATCTTCCAATCGAGCATGAACAAGCTTTACTGTCGTTTGTGTTGTGCGAACAGTAAGCTGCAGACATACATGAGCCGGTACTAACGCGTGATCGATGTCCAAACAGGAGCTCCATAGAGAGAGGCAATCCTCTAACGATGGTTTATATCAATATGATGTATGTGTGTCTATCGTTTGTTTGAAGTCGGTGGACAGCATGTGAGACTGTCTTTCTTTATTGTCAAAGTTAGTGCTGGACAGAAACAAGTGATTTGTGGGAATATAATTGTAAGAGACGACCATCCTTCTCGGTTCGTTGGCATGAGATTCCGTAAGTACCCCTAGAATGCCTATTCGATTAGTTCAGATGGTCGGAATGAATAAGCAACGAGAATCTCTGGCAACGAACGAACCGAGAACCTATCGTCCGACAAAGATGCAGAAGGAAGTGGATACGGATTGGGCATACGGTGAGAAGACCGATTGGGGACGTCACGGGTGAGGCCAGGTCCTCTAGTGGAACCCATAGGGGAAACGAAGAGTTGTGCGTCTGAGTTGAGGGTGACACGGAGGAGATGGTGTAAGGAAGAAATGAAAACTTCAGGGCAGTCGTTGTGCCAGGTTCAAAAGACTGCAGAGAACAGAGTGCAATGGTGACGTGCTACTGAAGCCATATGTTCCACTAGGAACCCAAGGGACAAATAATAATACTGACGCGTTAAAGACACCTGCCATTACTATTACTTCTAAACGTTTTGGTTTCCGTTGCAAAATTGACAGCTCATGGAATTCATTGTTTGCATCATCCGAGCCACAGTCGGTTGATGCTTAGAGGGAGATTACGAATAGGTATCGGTTGGCCTCACAACCCTTCTTAGTTCTTACAGATCCATTCAGTTAAACAGCGCATGGATGATTGTTGACTGGTATCCAGGTGGAAGCGCTCTTTCTACCTTGCAATTAAATGCTATATCAACACCAGCGGGTTCACGACAACTAGCCAATGTGTCTCGGGATTCCTCTGATATGAATTTTTAAGATTCATTACTGTGGCAAGGTGATGTCAATTTAATAATCATATTTGGGACATGTGTACGTTCCTTTGAGACGGAGCCTACTTTCATGGCTAGAAATTTTAGAATTCTGGTTAGCGATTCTTGGTGTCCGGTTCGGCATAGAGTCCAGACTTGGAAAGCTCCTGCATGAAATATATAGTGGCATCTTAGGAGAATAGGAATGATGTTACGATGTCTATGATCTTTGACAGTGCTTGCAAAGAATGAGAGGTTGGGTAGGGCGTGAGAGGCCTAGCACACGAGAAACAATAATACATAACATATTCAATCCAACTCTGTCTTCTCCTTCAATTTCACCTCTTGATTCTAAAATTAGGCCTCTGACGCCTTACCCAACCTCTCATTCTGTGCAAGCACTGTCAAAGATCATAGACTTCCACTTCCTTCTGCATCTTTGTCGGACGATAGGTTCTCGGTTCGTTCGTTGCCAGAGATTCTCGTTGCTTATTCATTCCGACCATCTGAACTATTCGAATAGGCATTCTAGGGGTACTTACGGAATCTCATGCCAACGAACCGAGAAGGATGGTCGTCTCTTACAATTATATTCCCACAAATCACTTGTTTCTGTCCAGCACTAACTTTGACAATAAAGAAAGACAGTCTCACATGCTGTCCACCGACTTCAAACAAACGATAGACACACATACATCATATTGATATAAACCATCGTTAGAGGATTGCCTCTCTCTATGGAGCTCCTGTTTGGACATCGATCACGCGTTAGTACCGGCTCATGTATGTCTGCAGCTTACTGTTCGCACAACACAAACGACAGTAAAGCTTGTTCATGCTCGATTGGAAGATGAGGACGTCAAGTGCGTATTTAGGACGGAGTTAGCTAAGCACCTATCTGAACATAACAGCAATGCTCATTCTGAGAAGACCTGAAGTGAGACTTATTGAGTCTGCTGAAGAAACAGAGGTAAACACAGATGATAACATACACCCGAATGTTAGCAAACGTCAGTGGATTTCTGCAGAGTCATCCGAAATGATTACTGCGAAAAGACTAATTACAGATGGATGGTTCTGGTTCTGACCATCATGAGGAGCGAAAGTAATTCAAAAGTAAGTTGACAAAGTGTATTCAAGTCGACCACTAGCTGTGGTGGGTAGTGAGAGAAATGGAGAAGGCATCACGGTTTGAATTAAGAATTCGTCACACTGACAGGGAGTTACATGGACCAGATTAGAAATTTCTATGGAATTTCATACTTTCTAAAAACGGAATGATTGGAAGTGAATGGAATTTTGGGGAATAATGGTATTGCCTAACAATTACGGAGTTGAATGTAGTTTATTTAAATTAGAAACGATTTTTCAGAGTAGCAGATTTTATAAGAATAGTTACGGTTGATCAAGCATGCTACACCACTGTGAGGAGAATATCAGGCAGACACAAAAGTAGCATAGCAAAGTCTCAGTGTGGTTTTATTAAGTCAAATATCAGCAATTCCAAGTTCATAGAAATACTAGCCGATAGTTTTCTACTGTTCTAATCTCAGGAATGTGTTGGGAAAAATTAAATAGGCCCATCACATCTATGAAGCAGAAGAAGAATCAACTTAAAACATTTACCTTTAGAGCAGTCAGGTATATTTTTTGTAGAGCTGTAAAACATCGAACTGAAAATGTCAACTAAATTACAAATCACACTTCTAAAGAACGTATGATTCGCAGAAAACAAATAGTACATGAAAACCTTGATTATCTTGATAATTTTGAACTCTTTGTAGTATAGGCTTACATGGTGCTGTGCATCGCTTGAATCTTTTTTAATTAATTAGCTAACGGTTTATGATGCATATTAATGTCCACATTTTTATATCCAGTCGATAGCCACTAACGGATGCTGCTATTTTTTAGCTGTCAAAGCACAGCACCACATGTACACTGGAATGACAGTTCGCTAGTAATCTTTTAGCTACCCATGTTCAAAAATTAAGATTAACGAATAAAAACTGATATACAGTGTAGTGCTGAGACATCGAGATTAAAATTTACTTCATGGGTGAGCAATACTGAGGAGTCCCATACTAAGAGGAAACATATGTTTTGTGCTCTCATATTTTTAATGGTTATCCAACTGATGCCAGTTTGTGATGAATACCAACTTGGGATTAATAAATAAATCCTCACAAACCTCCAAATCGAATTTTTTTTAAACTATTGTATCTAATATTACTGAGATATTCGACGATGTCTGTAACCAACATTAGTTTAGGTTGCATCGAAAACCTGTAATCTTTAAGGTTGTTGAAATTAGAAAATATGTAACATTACAGATATACTTAACTGTAAATGTATGTGTCCTTCAGACTTTTTCCTAGATTGAACAAGTTAACTATAGCAGGTATTTTATTGCTGATTGCTTACAGTGTTGAAGACTTCTAATTTTATATTAGATTGTTTATTTGTCATAGTACACAGTGATATAGTATAAGTTACTAAATGACGTTTCGAGCAGAATTTATTATTCATATTCATTTTAAAGTAATCATACGACTTTCAAACTTTCTTTACATGGTCCAACAGTCCATATTTCTGCAATAATTGAAGTATGTGACAGGGTTGACTCATCACATGTTGCAGATATACGGAAAAGTTTACCAGAATTAAAATAAATGAATGAGTTTTTTGAGTATATACAGGAAGTTTGAAAGTCGTATGATTACTTTGATATGACTAGAAGCAATAAATTCTGCTCGAAAGGTCATCAAGTAACTTATACTGTATCATTGTCTGCTACATCAAATAAACAATCTAATATAGAGTTATACTCCATTACAAGGCACAAGTTTTTGCTTTATAGTGAAGAATTGTAAACTAGCAGAAAACAATAGTTCGGTATCACATAGCTCCCAGTGGTCCCCTTTTCATGATAGCTATTATTTCACAACATGCATTTCTACACTTACTTTGATCTGTTTAAAATCTTCCATAATGAAATATCTATAATTCACGCAGAGGAAATCATTATTTTATTACTGATAAAATAACATTTTGTTACTACGGTAGTATGATCATATAAAACGGTATTATCATTATTATTATTATTAAGAATCAGAGTTTATGATACACAGCTGGATGACTAATGTAACAAGGATTCTTTAAAACTTCAATAACTCGGTTTAACGATAACAAACATTATTTTTATACCGTCTACATTTTACAAAGAGAGGGATAAATTTTGAATACTTAGCCAAGGAAAATCAGTTCGAATTATCCTGTTGTTGAACTGTGACATAGATTCACTCAACTATTATCTTTTCTTATTTTACAAAGATCATAAACTTTGATAGTCAAAATTACACGTTAAATGAATTTCGATGAATCAACTGTTGACAATTTTGTTACTGAGACGAAAATAAATCGAATGAATCACCTTTATCGTGGGAGGAATATATAGTGAAGACGAGTGTTTTGCTGAAAGCTTTATTTACACATTGTAAAAATATCATATGATCTATCAAATAAAAGTTTATTCGAGTATGTCGTTATATACCCACATAATATTTCTGAACGTACATGTGTGAATAAATAAGTATTTTACCTACATCAAAAACACCAAAATGAACAAAAGTGAAGGATAAAATTGTGCACCAGTGGATAATATCACTTTAGTAAATTTTAAATTTTATGCTGAATATACCTCTTAAACTATAAAACAAATAATTCAGCGAATGAAACCCTTTTCAAGGAATCTTTACAAAAGCTCTACAATCGCATATATATATAGAAAGAGAGAGAAAGTTGATGGAGATTTTAATTTTAAGGTAGTACTCATCATAGACTGACATTTTTTGGAGAACCACTGAAAACTTGTGGACACTGGTTAGCTGTTTCGTCCTGGTATGCGATTCCTCAGGGTACTGCTGTCCAGTGTCTCCAGATATTCAGTGGTTCTCCCAAACATGAACAGGTCAATTTTCATATGCATAGAGTGGGACTACCGTCACTGAACTATTGTGGATCTGACCTTCTAACTTCGGATTAAAGTTACAGTGTCAAAAAAGAGTCCAATTGGTGCCTGTTTTACTGGTTTCAGATACACAATAGGGAATCCTAACTATCACAGTGTACCTTTCGTCATCAGCATGCAACAAGGATCATAATTTACTCCCCGGTACAGTGATACGGAGTATTCTTCTGCTTAACAAACTTCACTTTACAAATGAATTTGAACATCCTGCTGACATCATCGGTTTAGTAAACTCCCATATTCATGCTAACATTTCATCTATTCGAATGGTAATTAAAGTCAATTATTAGTTTTTAAAAAACATATCCTCTATTATCATAGCATTAATATATACTGAAATTCTTCACTGAAAAACTTTGTCAATTCATCTCATAGGTTTCTTGAACCACAATTAACCAAACCAGTATTCAGACCAAGGTTGAAACCTTTTCCAATGAATAATTAAGCTCAAGACATTGTTAAACTAGGGTGTAAGCACTAATCAATCAATTACGACCAGTCAGTCTTGTAAGCTATGTAAACTGATATCGTCAAACGTTTTGTGTTACTGCATGCTTATTTATGACTGCTGATTGAAAAATGTCCATCAACTGATATGTTATAACTATCATTCTTCAGGACCCAACATATAAATGCATGCTATTGGTGCCAGTAATGATCATTATAAGGTTGTCTAAATAGTTATGCAATCTCACAGCATATTAGCTAATGAGACTATAATTTTTTCTAATCCATTTTAAAAGCATCTTTTCGAGACTATTTTCTAGGCTTTTGATGATTTTTCCTAGAACATCAGTTATTAATTTATCTACATTTTTGGCTTTTTGAATCATTGAATATTTAACATTCATAGGTAAAATATTTCTCTTTTTGAAGGTAGCTATCACTAAGGTCTAGCCAACCAATCATTCAGTGTCAGTGTGGGACCCAGTGTTCCCAAGTAGCAGTTCAAGTTGTCACACCTTATATCAGCACATCAACTTACAAGATAGCAGCATCAAAGTAATGAAATCAGGAAAAAGAATCTAATCTAAGTTCTTAGGAAGTCATATGAAGAGACGAAGAAGGGTTGATCAGGATTAAGATAATGTACGGATACATCTGTGCAGACAGACAGATAAAACCAACGTAGAATCTCGCACACAGATGCATTAGTTAAAGTTTCCACACTTCATAGTAGTATACAAAGAACATGTGGATCATGAAGGAATGATTAAGTAGACAAAGTTGTGTGAAAGAATAAAGTTATCTGAAGATGAAGATTAGAGTGAGTATTCAAGCTTTAGATGCCAAGAAGTGAATAAATCTGCGCCATTGCGACGGATTTCCCGCCATGTCACCAAGAGTCCTCAACCACTGATTATTTTCCTCTAGGGGGCCTCAGATAAGTAATCCTGATCTCCCCACACTACTCAGACCAACAGCCAAAGACTTCACCGACTGGTACCACGTCTTGGTCTGGGCAAAATGAATCCTCTTCCAACCTAATCCAACTTCTCCTAGGACGGCACGTCCAGGTAGGTGGTGGCTAGTCATGCGGAGTACATGCCCAAGCCATCTCACTCGACTAAGGTTTACAACATCATCAGTCGACTTGCCTTTCTTGTCTAGAACCGTTTGACTGTCCTCAAAATTGGTCACACAATGAACTGATCAAATGGGAACAATGATATGAAGACAACTGATGTCTATGCTACTGAGATTGCTTCTGAGCTATGTTAACTGAAGTCTGCAAACACCCAACTGGAGTCATCGGTGAAACAAAGGCAGTGAATCGTTCTCTTACCTTGTTGAACTACCTCTCGATATTACGTGATTGCTGCAGAAACATTTAGATAGAATCTACTGTCACTACCCTGAAATTCAGTTGGTAAATGATATTATGAGCCCATATGTTAGTATATTTTGTTCATATTTAGATATCTGTGCATGTCATAGTTTCATATCGGAGCGATGGGAAACTTTATAATCATACTGAGCATCTGCTCGGTAATGTTTTCTTCCTGAGTTCATGTTTTGCATGCATGCACGTCACTTCTTTTGCATAGCTATGATCCTATTGGACTTGTTAATAATTGTATGAATGAGTACCGTCACAATCACTTGATCTACAGTTTATATATATATATATATATATATATATATATATATATCGGCATACTTCTATACATAAAACTTATTTGTTAAATTCGAGGATCTGTTCATAATATTACCACCTTACTTTTCGAATGATACATATTCCCCGTAAAAATGAATAACTTTGGTTTTTCATGAACTCAAAAAAGGAAATATATTTTAATTTCCTAGAGGTTTGTATTGATTTTTGGCATTGATGATGAAAACTATTTCTTGTTAATGTGAGATAAAAGTTTGTTCTCAATCTGTTGGAGTTGTTTGCCAATTTTGAGGCAAATATTTATCCTTGACATTGTTGATGGTGTCAGTATCACATCTTGAAGTTACTGCTTCCTATTATGTACACAGAGAAGCTGATAAAGTGCTGTGACTTGTTTGTTTTGGTTAAGAATGCTAGGATTTAATGGTAATATATCATAGTTTTCTCATCACCAGTGTTGTTAGTAAGTGTGTTGTATTCCTTTCTCTCCTAGGTCTTGTTTAATTTACATGGCGTGGATTCGGTTCAGTGCTTTTGACACGTGTTTTGCCGAACCAACTGGTCAGGATTTTTTCGTTAGGATGTGCGGCTCCCAGAGATATTTGCATTGCTTTTTGCCCAAACTCTAAAGCTCTAATATTCCTATCAATTAAACCTGGTTCTCCAGAGACTGTAATTATTAAGACACACTTAGCTTGTCCACCTAAGCATGGTTTTAGTATATGTGTAAGTTTGGAATCACGGTAAGGCGCTGTAACGAGATGGCTGTTATATACACCAGGTCGAAGTGATTGATTACGACGTCGATGTGCTTCGAAAACGCGTGTCAGTGTGACAAGTGACTTATTGATGTATCCAGTTTCCGCGTGCACCTCACCGCTAGCTTCGATTCTGTCTGCACTCTCTGATCCAGCGAGATCACATAGAATTAACGATGAATGACGCTTTGTTTTATCGAAGTTGTTGCATAATGTAAGCTGTAAACGTATGATATGATGTGAACGTGATGATTCAACATTCAATTTGGTCGCTGTTACCTTGCGTCTTTTATTACCTTTAGCTATCCAACAGATCATATCATGTTCATTGGTTGCAATTTTCTCTTCAGCTTCAATTAATCGAATATCTACACCATCGTCAGATAATTTAACTGGTTTTATTTGCTCACCGAGTAGATCGTAAACAACTTCATTGTGTATTTCGAGCATTGCCATACTGACTTGTACTTTCCAGATACTTTGTAAAGGTTGACATAATTCAAATAACTCGGTAACTGCTCGAACACTAACACCAGGATCTTTAGGTAGACCTTGCATTGTGTATGTCTTACCTGAACCTGTTGGACCATATGCCATGATACAGACATTATAACCATCAATACATGAAGCTATTAGTGCTCTTATTTCTTCGAATACATCAATTTGTGTAGCACTTGGACGAAAAACACGATTAAATGTAAATGTTTCCTCTTTTGGAATACACATATTCGTTAGCTCAATACTTGTTTGACGTTGATACGTAGCTACATTTGGATAGGTAGTAGTTGATACAATAATTCGATCAAGTGAGTGAAATCTTAGTACATATGAATCATTTAAATTAGTCGATGGACGACATCTGCATAAAACTTTCAAGTTTCCACGAACTTCTTGTAACTGGTTGTGTAATATTTTTCTTGTTTCAGTTTCAACAGTATAAAGATGTTGAAGTTTTAAATATTCTCTTTGTAAATGTGTAAATTTTTCACGAATTTTATCAGCTTCAAGATTTAATAAACTGACATCAGTTCGTTCAGCTTGATAATGAGTTAATTTTTGTCGTAATAATTGATTTTCACTCATTAGACGTTCATTTCTAACCCGTATATTTGTTTCTTCAGCATTTCTACTATCAATTTCTTGTTGTAATTGTATATTTCTTAATTCTAAATCTTCACGTTCTTGTACTTTGTTTCTTAACAAGATTTCTAATTGTTTTAATGCATCTTTCAAATTTTCATTTTCAACTTTTACACGCTTTAATTCATATTGTATATTTTCTTCCTGTATTTTAAGTGTCGTATGACTTTCCATTTGTTTTTGTAAAATTGATTTATTTTGTAATAAATTGTCTATTTGAATTGTTTTAAATTCATTATCACTTTTTAATTGATTACAATCTTTGTATAATAATGTATTCTCGGAAATGAGACAATCTACACGCTTACGTATATTTGAATACTTTTTACTCAATATGATAATTCCTCGTTGTAATGTATCTGTTTGTAATTGTAAATTACGTCGTTGTAACATTAGAATTTGTAGCATTCTTGTTAATTTTAAGCGTCTTTGTTTATCTAGTAAAGCTGATTTACCTTTCTTTTGCTCAATTTCTTTTAATTCTTTCATTGATTGTAAAAGTTTACGCATAAATGCTTCCATAACATTTTGTTTCATGCGTAAACTTTTTAATCTTGCAGAACTGATTGCTTTACATAAGGCTTCAACATCCAATTGTTCAATATCACCTGATTTACCTGGCTGTTTTTTTAAATCAACACTATGCGGTCTAGTACTTACTGGAGCTGATTTACCTAATGCATACCCTGGGGGTGGTCTATACAGTTGATCATCTTTTGATTTTATTTGTACATTCATATTTAATTTTTAATGTAGAAAAAAGATATTATAATTGTTACATTATTGTGCTGTAAACAAATAAATATGTCCTTCACTTATCCAACTGACAGGAATTGATCAATGAGAGTTTAAATGAGGGTTTATTGATTTTTTCAAGCAGTGACCTAGAGAATTATTCTTATTAGGATATTGAATAATTGTAGCCCTCATTGTTTAAATGGCAAATTTTATACATTTATGGAAATTATTCTTTATCCTTTCGGAATCTCGAAGTTTTTATTTCCAAAATCTGTATACAGGATATATTCACTTTATGGAAATAGATGAATGGACATATTGGTCGACAGAAAAGAAAAGACGACGATAGTGAACAAAGAAACGAAAAGGATGTAGGTCTACAATAAAATACTCATTGGGAAATATGTAAAGCGAAAAAAAATTCGGTACTACCGAAATAAATATCAACACAGCTTTAGTCGGTAAAATCGTCAAAAAGGAAATTTTCTTCACTGTTACGTCTTTCTTTGATAACCTAGATAACAATTAATAGTAGGAATGAAAGGGAAAAGCTAATATTCAAGCAAATATAACTCAATTATAAGAATTAGAAGCACATTACTTATATAGATTAAACGAAATTAACTTGTGAATGATTTTCACTTCAAAGCTTTATTGTTCGATTGATTTATCTAATGTGTACCCATGATTAGTTAGCTTTGAAAGTGGGCATAAGACTTTTAAACATGTGTGTCCTTAAGATCAACTGGTTAAATTACCCAACAACTCGGTATATAATACCTTAAAATCTAAGCGAAAAGGATTGAAAGAAGAATGGATAACTGGTACAATTGGATAATTGACTTAACAAGGAAGATAAAGAGTGGATTTTAAACACAAACTGTTAAAATCCACTTTAAGTCACGTTTTCTATTCTTGATGTCTTGAAGATAGCAGCCTAGAAAGCCTCAGTTATTTACACGGTTAACAAAACTAGTCGTTAATTTATGGACTAATATTAGCTCTGTTTCTTCTTCTGCTCAGTTTGAAGCAGACAGAGTCAAGATGAAACTTGAACTTCACGATGTATGTAGTCCAGTCCTATAGAAGGCCAGTAAGGGTTTGAATAGCTCAGTCGTAACGTCTCTGACTACATCAGTACATGATATGGGTTCGAATCTCACTAGGGATATCAGTTCCCTCGAAGTTGCTGATAAGCCTTTCTACGGGCAAATTTAAGAGCGACTTTAGAGGCAACCCCAGTGACTGGTGAGATAACCAATCAGATTGCGGTAATTTGGCTAGGAGGACAGTTTCTAGCAGAATAGAGAAATGCGACTGGTTGTTTCATCACTTGCTAGGGTGGCCTTTAATGTCACTCTGAATTTGCAGGCCACACTAGCAACGATAGAAACAACCAATTAGGTTTCTTCATTCTGGCTAGAGAGGCAGATTTTCATGAAATATAGAAGCTTGGGAACTGTTGAAACAATCAATTACGGATCTCTATTTTATGAAAATCCGACTTCCTAGCCAATATATCAAAACCTGATTGGCTGTTCCAACAGTTGCTAGGGTGGCCTTTAAAGTCAGTCATTTTAAGTTATCAATAATTGTTTGCTAGCGCTTACAGAATTCCAGTCCGCACTTCTTAATTCAAACCAATAGTAAACGACTTCATCAGTTGATGCCATAGCTTAATTTGATGACTCATAGTTTTTTCTGAAACTAATCATAGTCCAGGTAACATTGAACACTGTAGCAGATTGCGACATATCGGTGTAATTGTCATAAGGTATTAAAAATTTGTCTCTAGTTTTGTAATATAAAATCTATATTAGAAAGTGTTGAAATTCACGTGATGAAAGTGTAATTATATTCGAATTATGTACACGAGCTAAAAGTGATAAAACACTTATTCTACTCTTTTGTTATTTAGAAGATGGTGGTGTTTTTAAAGCGAGATCTGTGATTATCGCGCATCCTTCCGATAACCACTTAACGGTTAGTTTCACTGGGGTTTGTGATACCTCACTTGGATGAAATTTGAGGGACTTTTGAACTGATGCAACTTATTTACTAGATGAGAGTGATAGTAACAATTTTTCCATGGTCTGCGGTAGAAGATGAATGTTATAAGTCTAGAGAAATGGAGGGCTTTAACGTATTCACTGTATAAGTGATCGATGTCAGGAAAGAAATACAAGAGTATAAAGGGTTCTCTTTTAACTTTAAATAAAAATATTGATATTATCGATCAATACCAGATATCTTTGTGAACTCTTTGATGCCTGACTTGAGTAACCATTGTTATTCAGAGGTAGATTCGGAGACCCCTTATAATCTGGACGACTTTGCTCCTCATAAGAACAAAAGTTATATCACATTAATTTCTCTAAAAAATAATTCCAACCATATTTGCAATAGACCATATTGATAATTGGTTTTTAAGCTACATTATGTACTTATCAATTCTTGTTTACTTAAGGCAAGAAGTTAGAACCAAATAATTGCACATGTAATGATAATCTGGGTGGTGATAGGATTTAGATTAGCAACGTCCGGGTTTCTCGTCTGGAGCTGTTCTAACTGAGAAACTAGACCCAGCTACTGACCAAGTCTTCCTTTCACTTCAGTCACTAGAAATTTTGCCCAACTGCATATGAATCTATGGGGCATAGCTGTTAATTTGTCATAAGCACACTGCCTGTTCGACCAGCTCTTATTGTTCAAAAAGAAATCAACCTAAATTACAGAGGAGGGGCATCCCATTTGTCATTAATGAAAGTGAGGTAGTCATGGTTTGACATATTCATGTTATTACTACTAGGCCTAATCCTTCGGGATTGAAGTGGAATCAAAACTTTGTCAGCGGCTGAGTCTTGTAGTTTAGTCGGTACAGCATCAGGCTGGTAGCCTGGAGGTTGCTGTTTCGAATCCTTTCACTTTCAGCTGGTACCAATGCACCAAACTACGACTACCGGATATAGTCTCATTAACAGTAAATGCGTTAACTCGTTGTTTGGCAACTGTTTATGGAATAGCTTTTTCTACAGATCGGAAATACATTCTTTTATTATAATTGTTTTTATATCATACGGTCAATGACTCATCATCAGTATCAACATAGGACTAAGCATTACTGCGTAACCGTCCGAGTTGCCATACCTCATATCAGTACATCAAGTAAAAAGGCAGTGAGGTGTAAGATGAAGATAAGAAAATTCGGTCAAAAGAAAACAGAGAAACGAAGAATGAGAAAGTGGTGAGATTCGGTATAGCGTCGTTAAGATGAGGATAATGTATGTATACATCTTCGCCAATGACATCGGTTCTCAGCCATGTGATCACCTAGAGTCTCCAACTACTGGTTCCTCTTGTCCTGTGGACCCCAACCACCCAGTCTGCATCGTCCCACATGGCTCAAACCAACAGTCAAAGACTTCATACATTGGTGTCGTGTTTTAGTCTGGCCACCTCAGGCCTTTTAACAGCCTGGACCTACTTTAGCCAAGATTGTGTAACGAAACGATAGGAGAGCCGTCGTTGATTGAACCGAATTTATCGGTCTCTACTGGCATATGGGCTCCTATGCGGATGCCTTGATATTACCTGTGTTCTGATTACATTAATGATGGACCGTGGCTAACAGTGGAATGCAGGATGCCCATTTCGTCCTATTTGGTGAGAGTAACACTCACTAGGAGGCATTTACATCCAGCTTACGAGTCCCAAATATGAGGAAGTGCGCATCTTGCATTCCACTGCTAGCCACGATCCATCATTAACATTCTTTCATTCTAGGAAGCCACTTCTGACAATAACAAATTCCTTGAAAACGAAAATTACATTATGTATCTTTCTCTGAATGTCACAAGACTTCAACTTCTTTGACAGATACCGCAAAAACACGTCAATGTTTTAGTTTTTAAAGTTTCATAGTATCTACTTTCATTCTTCTTACTACTCCATCAAATCACGGCTCATAATGTGCGTGGCTTTCCACCTGCATACATGATTTCCTGTTCAGCAATTCAGTTTCCCCGCTACTTCTGTTAATATTTGCCCCGAAGAAATTCAACAGAAAAATGTCTCAGTATTTATTATTGTTATTTGTCCCCTGGGTTATTAGTGGAACACAGGGCTTCCGTTGCACGTCTCCACCCCACTCTGTTCTTTTCAGTCTTTCGAAGCTGCCTCCACGACTGCCCAGAAGCTTTCATTTCTATCTCACACCATCTCCTCCATGTCACCCTTGGCTCGAACACCCAACTTGTCGTTTACTAAGCGAGTTTCACTCAAGGGCTTGGGACATTACGTTTTCGAATGATCTCAGTGTATACTCAGTCAATCTACAATTTCTTCTGCATATTTATTGGCCGATGGGTTGTTGGCAGGCCATAGAGATTCCCTTGTTGCTTTTTCTTTCTAGCCATCCGATCTTCAGTATCGAGTGGGCGTAGGCGGCAGTTGTTCATGTATGTCTGCAGTCTGTCGGAAATCCTTTTTGTAACGCGCCACGTCTCTCAGCCAACACATAGAAGGGATGACTTGACTGACATTAGTGTTGAAAATACCAATCTTGTTCACGCTTTATGCTGAGTGCAGTGCAGTAGATCTCCACACTGGTTTCAGATTAATAAAAGCCTGTCTTGCTTTCTTTCCGATCCTGGCTGCTTTCACATCCTCATCTGTACCACCACCGCCTGTAGTTCAAACGATGCTGCCCTGCCTGGGTAGGTGAAAGACACTACTTTCTTTAGGTTTCTCCTGTTCATGGTGATTGGTGTTTGCTGTTGATGCTGTTCGTTGTTTGGCTGACTATCTTTATCACCTCTACCTCTGTCCTCTCTACATTCACCTGAACGAAGTTCCGTCTTCCTTCCCTGCCTCGTCTCGCCTCTCCTCTCCTCTCCTCTCCTGCCAACTTCTTGGTCTACACCTGTAGATCTTCGAGTTTGTGCGACAAGACATTACCCCCAAATCATCATCCACCGCGAAATTCAAATCTTCTAGGATCTTTTCATAGATCAAACAACGTATGCCTCTCTTCTTGCTCCTCACACTTTGTTGCACAACCCAGTCCTGTCCAGTCGACCGTAATCATCGGTGATAGTA